AAAACAGTTTGAACAGTGCAAGCACTTTCTCAAAACTCTTACTCATGCACCGTTTATTTTGTAACATTCTCTGTGACTCTCCTGTGATTGTCTCTCACTGTACCTGCGAATTAACACTGTAATCAACCACTGTAAATATTTACTGTACTTAGGCCTACTCCCTATCATTATTGGATTGTCATATATTTTATAACCCCATTTCCCAGGATGCCACACACAGTGCAGATGTGTCTCTATAAACCAGTGAGAAAAGTTTCTCACAATCATTCAAGCGCTGAAACTTCCAGTTTGGTTAAACAAGACATCGTTGAGCTGCTTATGGGAGGTTATGTATATATTTGAACATATAGTGACAGGCCAAAATGAGACTCTATTTGTGTTGACTGAATGAAGTGCAGAGCTTCGCACACAGCAAAGCAAGCAATTTCGCGGTTGTTTGGAGGCGCGTCACGTGGGAAGCGGAAGAGCGACCTCTTGTGGTATAAATCTGGAATGACAATAATTCCTGCGGTACCTCACCTTGTGAATTCATCCTGCGTCTAATGCAGAAATATACACAATAATATCTCAGTTTTGGTATCTGTGCTTCTTTGGAGATACTAAAGAGTGTGTTTAGTGCAGAGAAGAAGAAATGCCCGTAGAACAGGTAGAGCACTTAACGTTTTTTGGCTTGAGGTTGTTGTCGTTTTCAGGGCAGAGTAAAAAACTGGACTGAAGCAAATACGTTTTAGGTGAAGACAATGCAATGTTTGTTCTTACCAGCTGCAAAGATACTACATTTCATTCAACAATGTTTTTTTGACTACATTATAAATCTATAGGCTAGGATATCCACAACTATGCCACAATTTATTCATTTATTTTAGGATACATTTATTTGCCTGGCTCTGATAATGGCCATCCTTTTCAGTTTATAAAAAATGTAGCATGATTTCACACTTCCATCATGTAGTTTAGGAATTGTAGTCAAATGACTAATATTAGCATTTATTTCATTTTTTTAAGAATGCCTTTTTTTCTCGTGCTGGGCAACGATTAATCGTGATTAATGGCATCCAAAAGAAGTTTTTGTGGACATAATAATATGTGCGTGTACTGTGTATATGTATTATGTATATATAAATAAATACACACACACACATGCATGAATATATTTAAGGAAAAAAACGAGTTATATATAAATAATAAATATACACAGCACACACACATATATTATATCAACAAAAACGTTTATTTTGGATGCCATTAATCGCGATTGTTGCCCAGCACTAAATTATGAAAAACTGAAGACTGGAGTAATTGCTAATTCATAAGAAAGAAAAATCTTAAACATTAAAATTAAAAAAGTTATTTTAAAAACAGTTGTTTTAAATTGTAAATTGTGACTGTTTTACAGTATTTTTGATTAAATAAATGTAGCATAAGCATAAGGGAGTTTTTAATTTACCAACCCCAACATTTTGAATGGTGGTATATGTGGAAAAAATGATATATTATATATGAATTATATTTGTTATAATAATTCATAGTTATTATTTATACAAACAACATTTTATATAAAGCAATGTTGCTTGCTGTCAAATTAAGCCTGAAAAAACAACAATAAAAAATAAATAAAAGTTATACTTCAGTGTGTGAACCTTACACTGATGTATAGTATGTTTTGATGTATTATAAGGAAATTGTAGTCTATCATATTTCCAAACAGAAAATAAGTATTAAACATGTACATTTTTCAAGAGTGTGCTTTCCCCTCTATTAAATCTTTTTAGTTTTCATTAGAATTTTTTTTTCTTTCCCTTATTGCAGAGCTTGTTCAGAAGAGGAGGGGAAAGACATAGGAATTATAGACTGCAGTTCCACTGTAAAGCTCTGGGGTAAAATAGCTCTCTTAAAGTCACATCTCAGATTGCATTGTGTGCCTGAAGGTGTCTGCTGCTGCCCACCCCTCCATTTTGTGCTAATGTGGGTGTAACTGATTCACCACTCAAGTAAAGCATGTGAGCAATGCTCTGTTTATTGATTGGGTCTTTCTCTCTATGTGAGGTCCAATTTCATTATCAAACAGAAATGGCCATAGCAATTATGCTTAAGAACCTGTACAAGTGACAAATCAATGAATATGAAATGGTTGAAAATTAAAATGCATACATCTCTTAAACACAAAGGCAGTGAATGTGTTGTTAATGTATTGTGTTGCATTGGGTGGAGCCTGTAAACATTATGTTCCTCCATTTGAATGTCAGTCCATTTCCTGATAAATTACTTCACAGGGGAGACGGGGGCTACATGTCACACAGACTTATTTCAGTACCATTCAAGTCAAATGACCAGTTATTTACGCAATGTTTTTGCATATTGATTTCAAATGCTTAGTTCAAAACGGTGTAAAATATTTTTTATTAATTCTATTTCATTATGTTTCATAACAGCTCTAAATACAATAAAACACTGACATACAAGAGTCAAGTATATAAGATGTATATATATGACAATAAATTTGATTCGAAGGCTTGAACTGTGTGCTCAGGACAAGGATATTTTTTGTAAATGTCAGCTCACACATTTTGTACTTTCATTATAAGTTGTTACTTTTTTTGTATATTATAGTGTCGCTGTTTTGTTAAATGTTCAGTTCATAACTGTAACTGAAACAGAAGTAGCAACAGATCTTTTCTCATGTATTATAACTTAGCCTGTGTAGCAGATAATAAAAAAAGTAAAAAAGAAAAAAGAAAAAAGGTTCCGTCTGTCAGATTGAATGGAGGCAGATATGAGTGCCAGCCTGCAGTTAATTGTAAGAAAGGGGTGGGGTTTAAGCGGACTAAATGATTGGAGAAATCCAGCATATGTCACCAGAGAAGATTAAGTTTATGTTATGACATTTATGCAATGGCATGACATTATAGGTTTTTTTAGTAAGATCTATAATATGCATTTTATAAATGGGTAAATTTTCATTTCATGCTGACTTTAAGGTATGTGACTATACAGAAAAGGGGTATATGTCAGGCGTCACCTGACCAAACCGGAAAACAGGTCCAATTGCATCCGCTTGTCAGAGAAAGTGTTAACAGAATTTATTTGCTGCCCTTTTATTAAATTTCAATATCCGAATGTTAGTGAGGAACACAAAAATAAAAAATAAAACTTTTAGATATAAATCTGCATATGCAATGGACATCAGTTATGATCATCTTTAGGTATCTTCTTTGAGTAAAAAAAGCATCATATTTAACAAAGCACATACAAAAGACCTGAACTGGAAACGACATGACCTGTTTTACAGAATAAAAAAGTTTGGTGTGCATAACCCCTATTGACTTTCAAAGAGACATTTTCACTGGAGCAAAAAGTGTGACAGCCAGTGACGGTCCTCCTATTAACAGCAACATCAAGAACATACAGTATAGATTCCCTGTCCAGGGTGCTGAAAACACAGACAGGAAGGAGTCTTTCCACAGTCACTGTCCAGAGTACTGAAAACCCACCCTCGCTTTTCATCAACGATGTATTTCAATACATTATATTCTATTCCCAAGTGTCCCTTAAAATAAATTCCAAGGTGCAAAAAGTGCCCTTTAATTATTAAATAACCATTAATTTCTAACACTGCTCCAACATCACTATGAACTAAATGATTTTGCATAAGTTATTATTTCTAATATAATACACTCCTATAATTAATTGTCATTTATCTGAGACTTTTTTTTAGTGACTAAGTGTAAAAACAATGGATTTAAAGTTAAGTGTAATAGTAGCATATACATATTTGAATTTTATTCTTAAGTTTGCTGCATGAAATCTAGTTACAGACACTGAAACAAAACTCCTCAACGTCCCTTACACAAACAATTCATGCTTGATGAATACTTGAAATTCATTATTTTCACACCATTTCACTGTTGCATAATCTAGTTTGGACACAGTTTAAGTGTTTTTTTTTAACTATGACTCACAAGTGCAAAAATGTTCTTTCTTTTTCATCTTTATTTCTTCAGGGCAAAGGTGTTCAAAGGCAAGAAGGTTCATGGTGAATTTGACATCAAAGTAGAACAGGTGAGACTTTTTTTTAATTCTTCCAAACTAACAGAGCAGTACAACTCAACAATGTGCCAGTGTAATGAATTAGATGTTAGATTTACCAAAACACATCAACTGGCTAGAGATTATTATTATCACTCTGAGTTGCAATTGCAATATTGAGGCTGTCATTTCTTCAGTGGTATTTGTTTGTGTTTGTGAAAAGGGATGGGGCAATATATCAAAGCAGTCTCTAGTAATGAAATGCAAGATCTAATCTATTATAGACAGGGATAAAAGAAAATTAATCTGTTGTGTCAATGAATAATATCCTTTAAAATAATTAGTCATGGACGAGACAGATTTGGTGGCAGCTTTACAATAAGCCAAAAGTAATTTCGACCAGAAGAAACATTTTGTTTTTGAACAACTGATTTTTTTTGTTTGGTTAGAGTTTTATATGTAATACTAGTAATTAGTACACAATAATCTAGGGATTTATTTAAGAATTTGGCAACATTCTGGAATACCAGGCAGTCACAAGGATTCAATACGCCTTTTGACAATTCCACTTTTGTGATTTGAACTTTTTACCCCGAAGGTACAACCTGGGTTTAGGTGTGTTTCTCAAGGGCACCATGGTGACAGTTCAAGGATCGCCACCTGCAGAGTCTGAACCTACAACCTTTTAGTTACAAGCTCTTCAATCACTAGGCAGCACCACCCACTGTCAGTGATGTTCAATCGATGTCTCTCGCTTCCTTGAAATGAACACAAGCACATGTCAAATTCGTCTCTCCTCTCCATTCATCATTTTACGCATCCAAACATCACATCCCGGACCTGTCCCGTGCGTAAAGAACGTGCGCAACGGGAAAAACTGATGATGGGTCAGAAAAAATGACGAGGGAAAACACTGCGCGGATTACTAGGATTGGATGGCACGAGTGACGCAATCCCTGCATCCTCCGAAGCCGCAACCGGATCGCGGAGAATCTGGCCGGAGATTTTGCCTCACCGAGTTTCATTTATGACAATTACTACCTTTACCGAGAGAGCACACTTTTAACAAGTGCCTCTTCGTTACGAGTGTTTTTCTCCACGCCCGTGGAATAAGACCTAAAAACATCTTCAACATCAATGCAAGGAGCATGAAATCTTAACGCCAATTGTTGAACGAGTGATGTAAGTCAATCAATTACGCTAATTACGAGCATTTATTTATGCATATTTAATCGTGATTTTATTAAAGCGTTGATTTGGTTTCTTTCATTTGTTGCAGTGCAGCTTTGCATGTTGTGAGGCACGACCTTTGCTTCGAGGTGCACCCTGGAGAATTGCGTATCGACTCATTTTCGCGTCTCGTTTTAAACTGAAACGCTCGGTTGTATCCTAGATATCAGATACTTGATCGGTTTTCCATTCGTCTTGGATTTTTTTTTTTTTTGCTGTACAGAACCTACAGGGAAATAATTTACCGTCGCATCCCTTTTCATCTTCACTATGAATTACCTGCGACGTCGACTATCGGACAGTAATTTCATGTCCAACTTGCCCAATGGCTACATGAGCGATTTACAGCGGCCCGATCCGCCGCAGCAGAGCCCAGCCCCGGTGCTCTCGCCGGGCTCTCAAGAGATGCGTCAACCCCCCAGCCAGTCTACCGGCGCCGGCTTCTTTTCCTCCATTTCCAACGCCGTCAAACAGACCACCGCCGCCGCCGCCGCTACCTTTAACGAGGCCACAGAGAGAGGAATCGGCTCGAGCAACGCCAGGATCCTCCTAGTCATCGATGACCAGCAGACAGACTGGTAAGACGCATATGATCCTATGTATTTTGAATGTATGACTTGGACTTTATGAATAGATTATTCGAGTGTTTGTTTCACGTTTCAGGCTCGCACCTGAGGTGTAGCTCGTGCTCATACAGACCAAAAAGAGTCACTATCCAAATGTCGTGACTCATTAGTCTATGGGCCTTTCTGGCACGCGCGCCAGTGTAGTTGTGGGTGTGCCCGCGCGTGTGTTTGTGCGCATTTCACAATTCAGTCTGGGCCAGTTAATGGAGAAGACCCTGAGGCAAAGTATATTACATTAGCTTTTCAGTTCAGATTAAAAGGTTCTGCGTTGATGGATTTAAGAGTAGACCGGCTGTGCGTGGGGGAAAAAATAGTGTTAACACAAAGTCTTTGAAAAAGACAAGGTAATTGAGGCACTTTTGGAGTTTTCATAGGTGAAACTCTCTGGAGAACTTATAGGAACCGCTTTCAGGATGGCTCAGATGTCCTATTGTATAATGTATACTCAAGGAATTATATGTTTTTTGAGAAATATATTTCAAGAGCAAGCCTTTCCCTTTATAATGGGACTGACAGTGTAGAGTACTTATGGGTTCCTAAGAAGACTGTCCTTTTTGCAAGGATGTCTGGAGGTTCTCCAGTGGTTTCCTCTGGTATGGTGAGCCGAGGAACCCCATATGGTGCCTCAAGTATCTTTACAATTTTAAAGTGTGTGATGTTGCTCTCACTGTTTCCCATGAGGGCTTGTGACACATTTACTGGAATATTAAAACCAAAACACCACTAACAAAGTTAATTTCATATGCATATTATAAACTTTTCAGTGGAGGCAACATTCCATCCATCCATCTAATTATTTTATTTAGTGACTAAGTGTAAAAACAATGGATTTAAAGTTAAGTGTAATAGTAGCATATACATATTTGAATTTTATTCTTAAGTTTGCTGCATGAAATCTAGTTACAGACACTGAAACAAAACTCCTCAACGTCCCTTACACAAACAATTCATGCTTGATGAATACTTGAAATACATTATTTTCACACCATTTCACTGTTGCATAATCTAGTTTGGACACAGTTTAAGTGTTTTTTTTTAACTATGACTCACAAGTGCAAAAATGTTCTTTCTTTTTCATCTTTATTTCTTCAGGGCAAAGGTGTTCAAAGGCAAGAAGGTTCATGGTGAATTTGACATCAAAGTAGAACAGGTGAGACTTTTTTTTAATTCTTCCAAACTAACAGAGCAGTACAACTCAACAATGTGCCAGTGTAATGAATTAGATGTTAGATTTACCAAAACACATCAACTGGCTAGAGATTATTATTATCACTCTGAGTTGCAATTGCAATATTGAGGCTGTCATTTCTTCAGTGGTATTTGTTTGTGTTTGTGAAAAGGGATGGGGCAATATATCAAAGCAGTCTCTAGTAATGAAATGCAAGATCTAATCTATTATAGACAGGGATAAAAGAAAATTAATCTGTTGTGTCAATGAATAATATCCTTTAAAATAATTAGTCATGGACGAGACAGATTTGGTGGCAGCTTTACAATGGAATATTTAGAGCAGCAATCAAGATGATTTATTTGAAGATCATATATGTATTGCATATACTTCTGTGTATATATACTGTATAAATAGATAGATTTGCTTTGATTAATCACAGTATAATTACTTATAATGATTACTAACATTTCTGTGACAATTTAGGTGTTTCAAGCCAGATTTTGTGCTGGTGCGACAGCATGCTTTTAGTATGGCCAAGAATGGTGACCACAGAAACATTGTGATTGGACTTCAGTATGCTGGTCTGCCCAGTGTCAATTCCCTTCACTCAGTCTACAACTTCTGTGACAAACCATGGATGGTGAGCACTGCATACATCAATCCATACCGATCAGCTAATTAGGGATGCTCTTAATGTATCCAATTGGATTTAATAATGTATTTTAAATATGTTTCCATTCATAAAAAAAAATACACATTTTCATATTCCGAAAGTAAGTAGTGTTTTCCAAATCAAGGAAATGAATCAAATTGGTAACACTTTACTTAAAGCCTTAAAGCATTATGAAGGTATGCATTATACATATTATAATTACATATTTCATAAATAATTGTAACCAAAGTTAAAATGCATTATAATATTTGAAGGTTTGTTTGTCTTTTGTTTTAATGCATTATACTTTCTAAAAGGGTAACAATGAATAGATAAGTATTATGATGTATTATAATTGTGGTTACAATTATTCATGAGATAATGCAATTATAAATACATCATAAGGTGCATTACAAGGCATAATTAAAGCATTAAAGCTACTTTTTATAATGCATTATACAGTATATAAAGGATTTGTGTTACCATAAAATCTTATAAAATGTCTGTATTTCTATATTCAATTTACAAGTTCTAGTCTAAAAAAAGTTAAAGCTTTATATTAATCTTGTATAGTGAGAAATATATAATTTTTTAGTTGGGATGCACTGGTATCGGGCCCGATACTGAGCTCTTGTACTCGTACTCGTTAAAATGCCCCGATACCAAACAGCATGTGATAAGCACCATATTCAGACAAAGAAACACCCACAACAGACAGCAGAATGGAGTTAAGGATGTACGAAGTATAAGTATATGTATGCAATGAATATAACGTTAAACATTCAGTATTAATGCCTGTATAGCTGATGTGCGCGAGCTGATAAACAAAGCACGCTGAGTGGATTGAGCGCGGGGCGGCGCAGATGCACGAGCTTGTCGAGTGAATATACCTTTCTCACAGACATCACTGAGTGGCTTTGGAATATAAATCGAAACACGTTTCAGATGAAAAAAACGCAACTTTTATTTCTGAAAATATCACAGTTAGGAGATTTATAACGAGTGGTTCCCTACATTATTACAGCAAAGCACGTGATTACAGTACGTCAATTCTTTTCAATGAATTACGTCAAGCTGTTTCACAAATCAGACTAAATAATTCATTTGTCAAACATCAAAATGATTTTAAACAATCAATCAAAATGTTTTTAACAACTGAAAAAGTCATGAAAAAAAATGATTGGTCAAAAGTGTAGGAACCCTGTTTCCATGTTTCCAGTTAGAAAAGAGAAGAAAACAGAAGAGCATTATCAAAAGGGCTTTCATACAATTTTACCATTAAATGTCTGTAACTATTGCTGCATAAAAGATGTCTCTATGTTTGTGTATATATGTATGTCTGTGTGCGGGTCGCCGTGCATCTATCAGTTCGCTCAGTTGTCCAGATTGTACAAGCAGTTGGGTCCAGAGGAGTTCCCACTGATCGACCAGGTTTATTACCCCAACCACAAGGAGATGGTGAGTGTTTAACCATCAGTCCCTGTCCCTCCTCACCAGTAAACCCTTAGCTATAGGGGTCTAGACGGTTCCACTGGACCCCGCACAAAGCTCCCATCTGTGGCAAGGACAGTGGTGCCTGGATGCAGTAAACTGTAAAACATAAAATACCCAGTTCATCACTGCTCCACTCAACCTAGCATAGTTATAGCCCTGTCTAGACTGGAAATTTTAAAAACTCCAGACTAGTATAATTGTTTGGTACAGCACAGTTCTTATAGACATAGTTCAGGTTTTAATAGGAGAGGGGAGGCTTGCTGCAGTGCCACCACCTCCTTCTATTCCTCCACTGCAGGCATCTTCACACATAAATGATCCCAGACACACTCGTTGTCAGAATGCTTTCCTCTCTCACTGGCCTTTTTCTAAGATAAAGCACAGCAGACTCAGAGCGGAATTCTGTGGGCTTATTTTGTCCCTGAGCAGAAAGATTTTGCTCTCGCATTTCAATTACTGCAGCAACATAAAGAAGATGCCTATCAAGCACCACTGAGACTGCAACATGTTCTCCTATTAATAACCAATTCAAAGAAAAGCAACTTGTTGTTGGTGTCATTTTCTGTTAAATCATTCATTCAGATAAGACAAATATCATGCCAATATTGCGTATTAACATTTGCAATAAAAACATGGTTGAGTAATGGCATGTATAGAATTCTATATTTATATCACACACACAAACACATGCTACCGTTCAGACGTTTGGGTTTGGTTTGAAGGAATTCATTTATTTGATTTAAAAATACAGTAAAAATAGTAAAATAGTAAAATTGTATTACAATTTAAAATAACTGTTTTCTATTTTAATATATTTTAAAATGTAATTTATTCTTGTGATGGAAAGCTACATTTTCAACAGCCATTGCTCTAGGCTTTAGTGTCACATGACCCTTCAGAAATCATTGTAATATGCTGAGAAACATTTCTTAATATTATGAAAACAGTTGTGTGGCTTAATATTTTTGTGAAAACTGTGAAACTTTCAGGATTCTTTGATGAATCGTACATTCAAAACAACAGCATTTATTTGAAATAGAAATGTAACGTTACAAGTGTTATATTATTTTCTTTAAAAAATCTTAATATATCTCTTTTGTCATTAGATCACCACACCTGGCTTTCCGGAAAGCTAAATTTTCAACAGCCATTGCTCTAGGCTTTAGTGTCACATGACCCTTCAGAAATCATTGTAATATGCTGAGAAACATTTCTTAATATTATGAAAACAGTTGTGTGGCTTAATATTTTTGTGAAAACTGTGAAACTTTCAGGATTCTTTGATGAATCGTACATTCAAAACAACAGCATTTATTTGAAATAGAAATGTAACGTTACAAGTGTTATATTATTTTCTTTAAAAAATCTTAATATATCTCTTTTGTCATTAGATCACCACACCTGGCTTTCCTGTGGTAGTGAAGATGGGTCATGCTCACTCTGGCATGGGAAAGGTATGATTGAAACCCTTTCTTGGACATTCCTGTAAAAAGTAAAAAGTCCAAACTAGCCTATATATATTAGTGTATGAATTGTTTGGTCTTTTTGTGATTACATCTATATCAGTGCAATTCAAATTCTCTGTACAGGTCAAAGTGGACAATCAATATGATTTCCAAGACATTGCTAGTGTTGTAGCTTTGACAAAGACGTATGCCACATCTGAGCCTTTTATTGATGCCAAGTATGACATCCGAATCCAGAAAATCGGTGACAATTACAAGGCCTACATGTAAGAGACTAAAACCATAGCAGTGTTTTCATGTCAATACGACATGATGGAATCTATGCCTTTAACAATATCACTGGAACTGATTGTAAAACACTGTGTAATACCTGCTGTTGTATTATTGGACAGGAGGACATCTATATCAGGCAACTGGAAGACCAACACTGGATCAGCCATGTTAGAGCAGGTGGCCATGTCTGACAGGTACACACATCTTACCGGATGTTCCTTCTTCCACGACACAAGGCATATTTACAGCTCCTATAACATGCCAGCAGATAACCTTATTAGATGTTTGCTCATCTAAAAAGGACATATTTTGCATAATTCAACATGTGATGTATTATGCATATCACATGCTAATAGCTCTTTTCCAAAACCTCGTGAGCTGCCTTAGTAGATAGCACTATAGGACATGCCACTCTTCCTGTAAAATACCTAATTTAATTCAAATTCTTAGACAGCATCACTTTTCTTATTCAAGATGTTGGATGAAGCGAGAGAAATGTTGAATATAATAATAATATACTTGTTAATTAATTAGTAATTCATTCAGTGCTGAAAATTGCATTGTATTTACTGAAATAATTAGTATGTTGAGGTTTCTGGTTTCACATAATTTGCTGCCTATGTAAAGTATGTCAAATTAGCCATTTATGACATTCAATTTGAGTTAGAATGCAGAAAAAAAAGCTCCTCGTTTGCTTCTTGCTACATAATTTGGCCAAAACCTTTGTGATTTTAAATATTACTATTTTATTATTAAATATGACTTACATACAGTACATTTAATTAATTGAGCCATATCACAATTTTGGTTTTATTTCAATAAATTGTGCAGCCCTAATTATCATAGTAATGCAAAAGTCATTTACAGATAAAAAAAAAAAAACTATATTATTGATGATGGAATTGTTTTTCAGGAAAAGCCTACACTGAACAAGTACCACATATTTTTCTTGAAACTGATTTATTTTGAAACAAAAAACATAGTTTAGTTTGCTAGAGGATTTTCAATCAAAGCAGTCGATGATACTAAGCCAAATATTAAGTCTTGCTCTACAGTAATCCTGATTCCCTTGTTTACTCTGGACAACAGTGTGGGTGGATGCTTTTAGTGGAATGCACAAGGTCATCATTTGCGATTTTCCCTGCAGGTATCGTATGTGGGTGGACGTATGCTCTGAGGTTTTCGGAGGTCTTGATATATGCGCTGTAGAGGCATTGCATGGTAAAGACGGTCGAGATTACATCATAGAGGTAACAACATCTGCAAAAACAATCAGTTTTTAAAATCGCTTTATGAAATATCCTTAATGCCCTGGGCAAACACTCTGTGTGTGTGTGTCTAATAGGTCGTGGGCTGCTCAATGCCTCTCATAGGAGACCAGCAGGATGAGGACCGGGCTCTAATAGCTGATCTTGTTGTGGGTAAAATGAACCAGACTGTGGCACGCACTTCAGCTCCCACTCCAGTCCGTTCTCAGGTTAACACACTCGCTTCAAAACATCCTCATATATTCTCAACCTAGACTTGAAAACAAGAACATGTCTGTGGTGATATTTCTGCAAAATGATATTGCGTTGCTTCTTATATGCTTTGTTTCAGAGTGAAATGTGAGTGGCTCTAAAAGCATGTCCAGTATTATCTGCAACAGACGAACGTGAATCAGACAACGTTTTGTTACAATGTTGTTGTACATAATGCAGCATTTTAGAAATAAAATGTCAGATAACAAAATAACTAAACAAATGTGATATAAATAATGCATTTGCTGAAACAGCCATGCAATTTTAGCTTGCTTCTACAAGTCTCTGAGCTCTTTTATTATAACTCGTGTGTCACGGGAAGCAAATGCAATGCTGTACCAGGTGAGCTGCTGAGCAAGTCTACTACATCAGAAAATCCATGCATATGGAGCTGGTTATGTGATGCAAATGCCAAGATGTATTCATTAACAAATCATGCACTACAGCAAAAGTGTTTTTCTGCAAGGAACAGTGCAAAAATATGTATTTATGAATCAATAATCTGCCCCTGTAATCATCATTTGTGTGAAAAGGAATCAAAGTTGTATATTCTCATGTGAGATGTTAAAAAAGCTTTGCTCCATGCAAAATCAAAGATCAAATTTGAATGAGCAGTTCGTTGGCCACTCAAAATATTGCTACTGCTTGATAGCATATCTGATCTAAAAGCATGCATATAAAAACTGTAATTTCTGATTATGCAACATTAAGCAGTGCACAGCTGTTGAGTAATACAATAAAATGGTGTAGTTTCCTCCCACCAGTCAGTATTTATTGTCAACTTGTTCAGCAGAAATATGCAAAACTTGTAGTCACAGCATGAGTCTGAGATCCTTTTTGATTGCAGTGCCGAGACTGCTATCCTCCATTATTCCCAAAGCTGTGATTGTAATGATTCATAGCCACACAGATGGGAGAGCATGAGAGAGTGAGAAATGCCTTTAATGCATAAGCTAAAGACTCAAGACATCATCAAATCGCTTGGTTTAATTCCCTCCACATTTGTGCTAAACTGATTGCCTGAAGATTAATGACTGCACGTTTGTTGGCATCAGCCATTTATTTATGTTTCTATAGTGATGCTCGGCACTTTTTGAGGTTACAGGCGTTTGGAAGTTTTTTTTAATGAAAGTGACAAAAAAGTGACTAGTGTTTCTAAAAATACTAAAACTTGCACTGAAATTTGTATGTGCCAGCATTCTGTTTCTGTGTGGTTTGGTTTCTGATATCCTCTGCCTCCTATGTTTGTTGTGTATTTTAGGTCCCAGCTGTTTCACCTCAACCCATCTCTCAGTCTAGAGTCCCCCAGGCACAACAGCGCCCTCCTCCACAGGGTAAGGGATTACACTGCAATAATAAGCCAACCTTTTAGGCATAATTCAATAATGCAAATTCATTCATCATTAACTCACCTTCACATTTTGTATGACTTTCTTGCTTGTGTTGAACACATAATGAGATATTCTGATAATCCTTAAGATGTGATTTTACATACTATGAAAGTAAACAGTGATTTTTACTGCCAAACTCCTAAATAGTCATTTTGTACCACAAAAGGGCACCATGAAGATAGTACATACAACTTATCAGAAAACCATACAATAGTTTTATGGGGGAATAAGCTACATAAACATCATTATTACTCAAAATCTTTCTCCACCCCATAGCTTTCAAATATGCCATATGAAGATACACTGCAACAGGTTTGACATTGATGCCAGATATTATTGGTTGCTGCTAATCTGAGTGGGAAACATTTTTAGTGAATAACATGTTAAGTTTTGGTCTGTTTATCACACAAGCCTTGAACAATATCTTGAAATATAGCTTATGGGTGGCTTAAAGTCATTTTTAAAATGATTTAGGGCCTGTTCAACTGACATCATCAAAGAAGGAATGGCATTCCAGAATTTTTAGATTTTGACAAAAGATTATGAAAACAAACTTTCACAGGTTAATTGCTCATCACAAGACTAGTAATGTGCTCTAACAAAGTGAATATTTTATTTGTTTATTCAGACTTTAGTTAATCCTATTTTTGTATTACATGCCAACACCAAAATACTTCAGCTGCTCAATATCCATCTTCACTGCCGATTCCAGAGTCTTCCTCTGTTATTCATGGTTGCATTTTACAGCAACATCTCTCTAGGCATGACCAATAGCGCAAATCTTACTGTTTGGCCAATTTTCTGAGCGGTGCGATAGAAAAGAGAGTCGAATACTTCTCTGTAATAAAATAAAAAAATTATCATGATGGCACACAAGTGTTTGTGTTGCTCTGAACTGATATCTTAACAGCTGTTGATTCAAATTAAAATGTTTTCTCGCACCAAATTTTCGTAACAAGCTTCCATCTTGATGTGAATGGGCCTTTATGGTAAAAATCACAAATTACTATTACTGTATGCAAAATAGAGACTTTAGACATTCAGCAAACAGAAAAAGGAAGTCATACAGGTTTGGAATGACATGAGCGTGAGTAAATTAAGACAGATATTTCTAAAAACCAATAGATCTCTGGATAACTGTATAAAAGGGTTAATAGTTTGTGTTTAATAGTTTGTGCTTATATGCTTACATTACAACTTGTTTACACAATAAAAAGAAGCTCTGTTTTTAGGAGGTCCACAACAAGCAGCTGCTAGCACTACTGCTGCCCGTCAAGGAGCCCCACCACAACAGCGTCCCTCTCCCCAGGGCCAGCCCCCTGCCCAAACCCAGTCTGTGACCAGTCCTAATGCCCAGAACCCCCCTGCCCAACAAACCCGGCCCAATCATCCCCCACAGCGACAAGCCAGTCAAGGGGCCGCAGGTCAGCAGAGGCCCCCCACAGCACAGGGTCCCGCCCAGCGTGGCCCGGGTGGCTCTCCTCAGTCACCGAGGCCCCAGCAAGGTGGTCCGCAACAGCAGCCACAGAGGCCTCAAACTGGTGGCCAGGGTCCCAAACCAGCTGGCCAGCCTCAGCAGAAGCCTCAACAGCCAAGACAAGGCCAGCCAACCAGGCAGCCCACCCAGGGTGGGTCACAGCCGAGCCAGGACGCCCCTCAACCAGCCCCGCAACAGCAGGGCAGTCCCCGCCCTCCTACCACTCAGCAACCACGGCCTACGGCACAGGGCCAGGGAGGTCCAGGAGGTGCACGACCTCCCCTGCAGCAGAAACCCACACCTCCACAGAAACCAAGTCCTGATCACCCGGCTCTGAGTGGATCGCCACAGCTTAAGTAAGATGTTTTTTGTCCTCTGTCATGTCATATTTGTATGTTTAGTTGACTGGATGTGAAGGTTTTTATGATTCATTAGCATCTGGGCTTGTTTTTCCAATTATTGATGATGTTTCATTACCCATGCAAATGACTACATCAGATAAATGGTGGCCATTCTCCTCTGCTACATTGTCAAATTCTAAAATCGCATGACAAGTTGATGGTGCTGATTGACAGTGACTGTGTGAATTAGGGTAAACCTAATGGGGTAAATGCTGTATAGGTTATAAACACAGACCTCCCGGTTTGATTTTGATTCACAAGCTCTGAATTTGATTATATTCTATACTCAAATAATGTTGGTATAATTTGTGTGGGTCTATTTTCTTACACTGATTTGGTAGTTTTTTTTTTGGGGGGGGGGGGGAATGCATTTTACAATGTTAATTTACTATGAATTTAAATGTTTTAGATTAATCAGAAAACCTATGTTTTACACAGTGATGTCATGGTAATGCTATTTTTTATATAAGAGACTGGATGGCTAATTACTGGTCTGATTGGTCATTTCTTGACTTGTCAGCCAATTACAATGCCATTATACCCTGTGTTGTTCTTACTAATTCACACAGCCATCACATATCTTCCTTTTTCAAAATAGGAATTGTGCAAACTCCAAAAACTGGATAATGCCTAATGGAAAATTGCCTGAAATCATATGCATTTAACTTTATTTAGCTAAAGCACCCCCCCCCCCCCCACACACACACACACACAAACTAGAATCTAATACATTTTTAGTATATATTCCATATTTTGGCCATGGGTGTATTGGCTACTACCAACTATGCATCAGATGAGCATGAAATTAATGGATAAACACGTCCAAAAGCTCCTGTACAGATTCTGCAAAGCATACTATGACGACTTTAATGACTTTAAATAGTTATAAACAGATTTTGATAATGGTGATGATAATAATGACATTTGACAATAATGGTGATAATGATAAATGTGGCTTATACATATAGGCAGATGCATAATTAAAACAATGGAGATACAGAATGCACACTAGATGATCTGGTATTTTGCATGCCAAAGATGGCTTCCTTCAGTCTTACACCCAAACCATTCTTGATTGTGGAAATTGCATTTTTCTGAACGGAAATGTGCATTTGATCTATTTTCACTGTTAAGCGATTTTAAGTATGAATGCGGTCATCTTATTCCCACTATTCCTCAATTAAGTTCTAAGGTGACTAATACAATATAAAACTGATTCTTCCAAAAACAACAACAACAACAACAACATACCATTTATTTATGTTCCAGAGATGTGCCTTTGCACTTGGTTCTTTATTTAGGAATAGTGGCCCAGAATAAACAATGACGCAGAGTAAAGTGCATGTCTCTACATCCAGAGATGCCATTTCTCATAAGTCCAAAGGCTGATGTAAACATTGCACTTGAGTCATGATTGCTTGATATGAATTTCATTCTCTCTCTCTCTCTCTCTCTCTCTCTCTCTCTCACAGCTTATTTATTTTTCTCTGCCATACCTTTATAAAGCCATCTCCATGGGTTTGCTGCATGACTTTAATAGCCTCTTCCTCTCCTTTATTGCCACTTCTTCTCTTTGTAGCAAATCCCAGTCTCTTACCAATACATTCAACATTCCAGAAACGCCGGCCGCCCAGCACCAAAGTCCTAGTCAGGATGAAGCCAAGGCTGAGACCATCCGCAACCTTCGGAAATCCTTTGCAAGCCTCTTCTCCGTGGAATAAACACACACACACACACACACACACACACACAAACACACACAGACAGAGAGGTTATGGAGTCTCTAAAAAAACATGCAAACACAGACACTCAATTATACACAGAAAGGACCAATTATATCACACATTGCAGTGCACATCAGATCTGTGCACGTCAATTTGCAATGCGACATAATAAAACACTGCCTGCACTGATAAAGACTGCAATATGAAGTGAGAAATCACAGCATTACTGCAGTTAAATCTTTTAAAATAACTGAATTCTTTAGACACATTCCCAGTTTTTCGAGTCCAACTAATGGAGGGAGGTGTGAAAATAAAATACCACACACAGAAACACTCGCACGCACCCTTTTACACTACCTACACAGTGACTGGACCAACATACACTTAGCACACGTGCTAAATCTTGCCTATTCATTCCAGTCTCCTATTATTAACTTATAATCCTAGATTCTTTTTGAAAATTTAAAGTTTTGGTGGACATTTTGTTGTAAAACCATCCACCGCCACGCTCTCTCAGATATATGATATCTGAAGTATGTCTGCTAATTGTCTGAAGCATGTTCTGTTACAATAAGGGGCACCATCTAATGATTTTAACCGTGCGTCACATTGTACTGTAACCGAATGGTTTATCGTTCCGTATTTTACATGCTTGAGCAGGATTTTGGATTTTGCAATGATGACCCATTGTGACATTGTTTAAATTTTGCACAAGCTTCCATCATCGAAACTAACCCCCTCGGCTGTTAGCACTAGCCACTTGCGATACTTGCATGTCACTTAAGGAGAACGTAGTCGCACAATGTGGGTGGTCTTGCTTTGTGTCGTGTCGTTGCACCTTGATAAGGTAGTTGTAGTGAAAATGTTGTTTATTTTTCGTGAGCAAGCTGTCGCTGCTTCCCTGACGTCCCTTTTCCTGACAAAACACACACAATGGTACACCCTCCGACGTGTTGAATATGCCTTAGCCAGATAGGCATACAAAAAGAGATTGGTTTTGTGCAATCACATATGTCTCAGGGATGTCCTGAAGAGAAAGACGCAATGACCTAGCGTCATTGATTAGGTCTTCCAACCCATTACTGTAGAGAGTTACTGATTGCGAAGGCTAGTAAAGAGAGGAATCATGTTTAGATAAACATGTTTGCACACTAATACTGTAACACTTGAGAACATATGAGATGGTTGAAAGCTCAGGAAGGTTTGTTGCATCAAGAGAAGGTATGTTTTGCATGCCTGTATGAGCATGTAGGTGTTTAGAGCTGCTTGTTCATTACACTCGGGCCCTATGAAAACGCAAAGCCAAAATACAAAGCCAAGGATGCCATCAGCAGCAAACGTCTTCACAAAAAGATCATCTTTAGAGGAGATGCTCGTCACATGTTGGCTTTTAGACTAAACCACATTTAGTATGTCCCAGTGTGATCCCAGTTACACAATGTGGATCCTTAAACCAACTACTCCTGAAACTTCTCGCCATACCCAAGGAGTTTAGAGCTGAACCGGCAGTGTCTTCCACAAGTGAGGATAAAACATCCCAATACTGGTGTGTTTTAGGCAATATATTTAGTCAAGGAGTCCTGATCCAATCCCGAAACCTCCCCTGCTTTCCCGCTCACCAGCCTGTAGTGTATTCACAGTGATCCTTTTGTGACAAATGGTGCGTTAATGTGTATATATATGTATAATGGAATGTTGTACCGTAAACTGTCTAAACCAAATAGAAGTGTTGTACAGATCTTAACTCAACAAACGATGCAAACGCCCTGTATTTGATTTGATTCTCAAAAGGTGATCGTTGTGGGTCTTGCGTAAGACAGGATTTTAACTTCAATCAGATGTGATTTAGGTTGTGCAATATCTCCACTGTAAACTAAACCTAACAAGTTGTCGTGTCGTTGCACCTTGATAAGGTAGTTGTAGTGAAAATGTTGTTTATTTTTCGTGAGCAAGCTGTCGCTGCTTCCCTGACGTCCCTTTTCCTGACAAAACACACACAATGGTACACCCTCCGACGTGTTGAATATGCCTTAGCCAGATAGGCATACAAAAAGAGATTGGTTTTGTGCAATCACATATGTCTCAGGGATGTCCTGAAGAGAAAGACGCAATGACCTAGCGTCATTGATTAGGTCTTCCAACCCATTACTGTAGAGAGTTACTGATTGCGAAGGCTAGTAAAGAGAGGAATCCGTCGAATGTATTCGATTGCTACATAAACATGTTTGCACACTAATACTGTAACACTTGAGAACATATGAGATGGTTGAAAGCTCAGGAAGGTTTGTTGCATCAAGAGAAGGTATGTTTTGCATGCCTGTATGAGCATGTAGGTGTTTAGAGCTGCTTGTTCATTACACTCGGGCCCTATGAAAACGCAAAGCCAAAATACAAAGCCAAGGATGCCATCAGCAGCAAACGTCTTCACAAAAAGATCATCTTTAGAGGAGATGCTCGTCACATGTTGGCTTTTAGACTAAACCACATTTAGTATGTCCCAGTGTGATCCCAGTTACACAATGTGGATCCTTAAACCAACTACTCCTGAAACTTCTCGCCATACCCAAGGAGTTTAGAGCTGAACCGGCAGTGTCTTCCACAAGTGAGGATAAAACATCCCAATACTGGTGTGTTTTAGGCAATATATTTAGTCAAGGAGTCCTGATCCAATCCCGAAACCTCCCCTGCTTTCCCGCTCACCAGCCTGTAGTGTATTCACAGTGATCCTTTTGTGACAAATGGTGCGTTAATGTGTATATATATGTATAATGGAATGTTGTACCGTAAACTGTCTAAACCAAATAGAAGTGTTGTACAGATCTTAACTCAACAAACGATGCAAACGTCCTGTATTTGATTTGATCCTCAAAAGGTGATCGCTGTGGGTCTTGTGTAAGACAGGATTTTACTTCAATCGGATGTGGTATAGGTTGTGCAATATCTCCACTGTAAACTAAACCTAACAGGTCTGTGTTCTTTATTTGACCCGTTTTGTGACAAATGCAGTTGTTAAAACTCATCTTCAGTGTGTCCATTGATATGATTGTAAGTGGCTTGACTGGTTCACATATGTGATTATCTAGATGGTCCTCCGTGATATTGTTGTGGCTCAGGCAAACTTTCAGTGCTCTTCTATGTGGTTAGCAGTTAGGATAGATATGTATGTTAAATGATGGCTTTAATAAATGTCTAATGAATAACTGTATCACTGATGCAATCAAGTTTTGGGGGCAAATGAAATTTCAGTAATTTATTTGAATGTTGCAGTACTTATGGAACCCATGCCTGAGGTTTGTACTTCATGATTTGGTTTAAGTTTTTTGGCATATTTACATTTGTGTACTTTCTTTTTTATATAGCCTATTCAGAAGAATGATCTCCTTTTAAAGAAAATGTATTCAAATGGGTCATAATTTCTAAATAGGTTTGACTGTTTGATTCTCAGTGAATTTTGTTGTCTGTTCATGCCTGCCAATTGTATAACGAAAGGAAGATATAACATTGAATCACAAATATATAGAATTATAGTCTTAAATTCTATTAAAATGAGAAATATTGTTAAACATTGTGTAGTATTACACAAACAGATGCAACTTTGATGTGATCTTCAATGTAGCTTAATAATGGTGTCAAATTACTATGCTAAAATGTGCACATAATCAATAAAGTCTATCAAATAAATATGCATCTCTTTTCACTTGTTAACAGCCTCTGTTTGGAATATTAATCATAAAGCAAGTCAATGGCGGCAGTGCATTACAGTGAACTGAGACTTATTGTGAGAGTCTCATTACAGCAATATAATAAAAGACTCCAATGAGCAACCCTATCTGATAATATTAATGACAATATCAACTTAAAAAAATCACAATAAATAATTACGCCAATCAATACCGATCTTGAGATGCACAAAATAATTAGAGAAATATATAGGCCAAAATGCATTTGTTAACATTTTTCATTTTCAGTGTATATTATTGGGTCAATATCACCATAGAGTGCCTTTCAACCCTCACAATACTCAAACATTTTGGTTTAATTTCCCATTCGCTTTTTGTCATGTCATAAACAGTAGACACTTAAGTACTATAGAAATATATTATCTGAGCTCCCACACATTTTTTAGATAATTATGGGCCATTATTCGAAGCATAAACCATACGATATGTCCACCCTGTCATGGACACATATATTCCTGTTAAACACGTTTTCATTGCAATATTAAGATGCAAATTATATTTTCTGAAAGGTATGATGTCCCTTTCCTAAACAGGGTTATTTGTTTGCTTTCAAATTATAAATACATAAAAGATTTTATGTAAACCATGTGTTTTTAAAGAAACTGATACAATTTGCGCATGTATTTTATCTTATTTGGGGAAAACTGTGATATTTGGATGTAGTTTTTTGTTTGCATGTTATTGCCCCCACACCCAGCTATTGAACACACTGGATTATATAGATATGATTTAATTATTATTTAAAAATGTTATTTAAAAATATCAAGATGACAGGGTGGACCAGCACATGACGGGGTGGACACATAAAGCAGAACACACAAAGCATGACAAAATATGACAATGAAACCTTTATTCAACTTTGAAAAAAATGATATAATAAATAATATAATTACATTCTCAATCACACTGATATACCCCCCCCCCCTCATTTTAGTTTTTAGCAATATTAACTACAAATAAATGCTATGTCCACCCTGTCCTGTGTATGTCCAGCCTATCGAGTCTAAGTGGCCAACAGGGTGGACATTTTGAGCTTCAATTAGCATATTAGCTTACAACAAACTGTGACTAGCTAAATAGTTAGTCTGGTTGTTGAAGAGAATTTGGTATATTTAAACCTACATATTTTTTAAAAATACTTTATTCTAATCACTTCCAGCATATTTTATGCCGACAGGGTGGACATGTTAAGCTTTGTCAAAGCAAGTAAGCAAACTCATACGAAAAAAATTAAATCAAAAATCTAAATTATTCACCTCAGCCGTTGAAATTCCCACCACTTAAGAGACAAAAATTCTGTTGTCCTAATGTCACTAAAGGGGATGGCCTTTTCTTAAAGGGGCAGATTTCCCAATATGACAGGGTGGACAACCATTCAAGGGACATGGACAAACTCTTTTTTATTAAATAAAAATATATTTTTTATTACCAAATGATCAATACACTCAAATTGAGTTAAAAAAAAAGAAAGTTAAACAAAATATTAATAGGATAATTTTTTTTGGGGGGGGGGGGGGGTTTTATTTTTTGGACTTTTTCTCCTCTCCTT